TGGCCAGCAAGTTAAAAGAAGTTGAAGATATGAAGACCAAGATAGTGTGGCCTCTAGCATGGCCGCAATCGCCTTCGATTTATAGAATTAGGTTGACCTCGTTATCGCAACTTGATCTTGTTGACAGGGCGACTTAGTAGAACACACCTAGTACGAATTCGTCTGCCATAGTAGTTGTCATGATTCTCACCATGAGACAGTGGACTTGGTACCTTTTCAAACGTTTCGCCGGCATCGTAGTCGGCATCATCAGTGAGTTTTGCCATTCTCCGCACCAAGCTACGAACGCACGTTTCGCCGGCATCGTAGTCGGCATCATCAGTGAGTTTTGCCATTCTCCGCACCAAGCTACGAACTCGTAAAAGAGACAAGAATGTACCAAGTTCACTGTCTGATACTAGAAAATGTGGCAGACGACTTCGGACTAGGTGCGTTCTACTAAGTCGCCCTGACAACAAGACCAAGTTGCGACAACGAAGTCAACCCACTTCTATAAGCTCCAGCTTAGTCTAGTCTTCTCTTACTCAGTGGCTCTTCATGTTCCCTTTCCTTCTCTCTCTCTCTCTCTCTATTTCTCTCATTCTATCTAGAAGCTAGAGATAGTTGTTACTTCGTTTTTTACATTCATTCCTCTTATTCAGGATGTTTGTTTTATTAATTTTGATCGGTTTACTGATCTTCCACTTAGCTGTGAAGTCTCCATATCCGACAAAACTTTGGGATTTAGACCAATCTATCTGGTGTACTATAGCGACCACAGGTTCACTCATTTCCGATTTCTGAATCCATAGACCTTTGCAGACGGTTCTGTGTTCTGATGGCCTCTTGTCTATGGGTTGACAAGTCTCCCCGACATAAACACTTCGACATGAGCACAATACCTCATAACAACCTGATCTGCAGAGGGCGCCAAAAGACTCTTTAAAGGAGGCATTATCGAGGGGAACGTTATTGTTTCTCTATACATTGTCCTGAAACTTCATTTCATCAATAATTCGCCTATCTTTCTTGAAAGCTTTCAGGATGGTAGCATTAGGAATCTGGCCGAAGAGGTGTCTAATTCCTTGTTTGGGCCAAAAGAATGGTTTTCATTCACTCTATTTCTCAATATTTTTAAATTGTTAGCAATTAATCCTACAGGATAATTGTTCTCAACTAAGATTTTTCTTAGCCTTTCTGACTCCTGTTCTTAATGATTTACGTCAGCCAGATATAAACTCTTTATTATCATTGATTTCTTACGTCTACCTCAACACCACAAGTATGGTTTGAGAATAAAGTAAGGAGACCACCATTTATGGATTTCCTATATACATCTCTATTCAGTTTGCTCCCTTCTTTACTAACTAGGACATCTAAAAAGGGTAACTTACTCA